GAAACTGGCCGGGCCAAAGTCATCTCACCTGGAAGTTTTCCCTCTACCTATTAAACCCCCAAACCGGCCCACATCAGATATGTAGAAAGAGCAATTCCACAAATCGACTCCTTGGACGTGGCATGGAGCAGAGTGGGCAGAGGAAGAACATCTCCCCTCGCAGCTCGTTAGCCACGTCCCCGTAGTGTCATCCCCTCTGGGTGCTGCTAATGCCATACGGTGACTCCTTTTATTATTTTTTTCCCCCCTTTCTGTAGCAAGAGGGAGGCCTGAGGTCTGTGCCCCGAGATTCGAGCATCTCTGCCCAGCTTCTCGGAGCTGCTGCTCCCTGCTGCGAATGTGATGCTGAGGCTTTCTGCTGCTCCTGGGTGCCTGGTGGGCTCTTCCCAAGCCTGGCCGATGGCAGGCAGCCCTCTGAGCTGTGTCACCCTTTCCCTGGCTGTAACAGGGGGCTGCTTGGTGGGGTGATGGAGCTGGAGAGGCTCCGGTGCTGTGAATAAAGTGGTGACTTTGTCCTCGGCACAGGGCAGCGTGGTGTAGGGAGCAGGAGGAGGACGGGGAGAGGCACTGGTGTTCACAGGGCTGGGAGACCAGAGGAGGCTGGGGGCAGCTCCGGCATCCCCCCAGTGCCAGCTGCGACCTGCCCCGCATCGCCCCACGGCAGCATCGACCCGGGCAGCGTGGCGGCTCCACAGGGAAACAGGGCACCGGGGTAAAATGCAACGAGGGAAACCAGATCGCTCTGAAAATGCACCAGGATCAGGGGAGGAACCCTCCCAAGCAGGGCTTCTTGGGGGAACAGGGGTCAGCCCCCCACCACAGCACCAACACACACCCTCCAAGTAACGAGATCTAGTTTATTGAGTGATCCCTTTAACAAGTAAAATAGAAAAAAACCCCACCAGTTCATGTCTCTAGGCATGAAATATTTAAATAAGGTTTCTTTGCAAGAAGCTGATTGTCCTCTATGTAGTAGAGCAGGACCATGATTTAAGGCAGCTTTTAAGGTTCACAGCAGGTAGACTCCCCAGCCACCCCAAATGCGCACCCAGAAAGAGCTGTGCAGAGCTGGCATGGGGGTCTGGGCTGCCCCTCACCTGCATCAAATCAGCTCTGGGGAGAACTGGAACAAGCTCCAAACCCAGAACTTAACTCCTCGAGAGGTGGAAAGCAGGGAGGTCCCAGCCCAACCGGCAGCTGCTGGTGGATGTAACAAATGCAGACGCTTAAAGCTCAGCAGCCTGCCCCAACCCACTCTGTTGGGTTCCCCCCATCTTATCTTCTCCATCTGAGCTGCAATCTTTGGTTCAGATCAGCCCAGGCTTTGGGAGGAGGGAACCCAGCAGCAATTAACTGGAAGCAGCATGAGATGGATACATGAAGCAGCTCTCTGCCAGCCTGCACTGAGCCCAGCCTCGCTGGCTTGGCCTCAGCCTGCCAGGGAGGAGGGGTGACTGAAGTGAAAATAAATAGAAAAGGGGTCTCAGGGCTTCCCAGCCCGCCCCACACCACGGCAGTCTGACCCCACCATCAACCACCTCTTCATTAGGGAGGGCTGGGAAAGGCAACCTGGGGCCAGGTCCTGATCCTTGATGTGGCCAGTTAAGGGAGGAAAAGAGGAGGTCGGGCAAACTGAAGAGCATTTGCTGCTGCGCCTCTCAATTCCCTCCCTTTACACCCCTGGGCTCTGCCTCTCCTCCCTCCCCACTCCAGCCAGGCGACACGTCCCATCCAGGCCACCTAAACGTCACCGTGCCACCTCTCCCTGATATTGCTGAGTGTAAGGAAAAGTCCTTTGGGGTTGGTCGGGTGCTGGTGCTCACCTTGAGTGGCATCGCAGCATCATTCAATCCCTGTGTCACCGTCCCGGTGTGGGACACAGACCCCAACAGCCATCCCATGGGACAAAAAAAAGTGCTGGCTTTTGACCTGTTCTTGCACGGCTCCGGCCGAGCAGCATCTACTGGATCACGCAGGAGAGATTTTCTCCAAAACAACAGGGGCAAGAAGAGGAGGAGACAGGTTTTGGGGGGATGAGATCCAGATCTTCATCATCAGGGACCTCGTCGAGGTGGTATCCGTCCTGCAGCAGCTGTCGGCTCAGGTCCTGGTTCACCTGCTGCAGGGGAAACAAAGGAGGCAGAGCTGGTTAAAATTAGCTCCAGTTTAGTTAAAATTTAGGTCCCAGGACTTGCAAAGGGCAGGGCTGTGAGAAAGAAGGGCATCATGTCCTCCCTCCAGTGCCTTTGCATGGGGAGAAGCAGCACAACCAGAGCAGAGAAGACGAAAGCAAAAGACCAAAGAGCTTTCTTTTCCTGGGCTGCAGCACCCCGACACACACCCCGTGTGCCCCAAAACACCCTGTGGGCTGCGACGCCCTTCTGTGACGAAGCTCTTCGGCTGCCCTGCTGCAGGGTCTGGGGGGAGATGAGGCAACCCGCGGGGACCGTGCTGTCGGGGTCAAACCCCTGGACTTGCCTCAGCGGAGGAGTAGCCCGAGGAACATCTGGATCCCAGCTCCCCATCACTACGAGAAGAAGGAAATGGTCAGAACCAGCCGGGAAGCAGCATCTGTGCTTGGGGTGCAGGCAAGGGAATCTCGGGGCGGGGAGGGGGGCAAGGGAGCCAGCAGTGCAACCCTAAGGGATTTGCTAAATTTGGGACAACAGGAGTGTTCCGTTGCGGAGAGGTGCCCAGCGCAATCAGGGATGCTCTACAAGTGACAAGGAAAACGACTCCCCCCAAAAAAGCCAGCTCTGAGCCTGCAACACCCACTCAAAATCCCGCGGTACTCGCCCAGTCCCCACCTGTCCGAATCGAGGGAGACCAGGTTTTCATCCGCCGTCTGGCTGAGCGCCGTGTAGCCCTTGTTAAACTTCACCGACCTGCCGGAAAGCAGAGGCTCGAGTCCCTAACAGATGTTTTGGTGTGGAAATGCAGCCACAGAGCTGATGGACTGAGAATCCAGGGCAGGAATCCCTGTCCTGAACGTCCCTTCCCACCCAGGCATGGTCCAGGGCCACCACCAGCGAAGAATAAACTCCATCTAAGCTCTAGGCTCCCCGATTAAATCCAGAACACCAAACCATCCCCAAAACAAAGAGAAGCAGCAGTGTGGCCCCTCGTAGAGCAACTCCTAACTTTTGCAGGAAAAGTGCTACCTTTTATTCTGTTGGATGCTGGCTGGCCACAACAGAGGTCCCAAACTGATTTTTTAAGTCCTCTGAGTTCCCCAGTCTCCCCAAGGAATGTGAAAAATCATCTCAGGAGAAGAAAAATGGGATCAGACCTTTTAGCCACCGGCTTCGGCTGGTGCGGCGCGGGTCCCCCCAGCAGCCCCTGCCGTCGCAGCGCTGCCTTCGCCAGCTCGCGCTGCCTCTCTGAAAGCCAAGCACAGGGGCACAGCTAAAAATACCTAAGGGTCTTTTTTTGGGAGGGGGAGAGGCATTGCAGGTCGGTCCTAAGGAGAGCAGGGGGGCAGTGCTTTCCACAGACAGTGCCTATGCGCTTTTATGGGTTTTTTAATGTGGGGGTTTTTAATGGTTTTATCCCAGCAAGGAATAAAAAGGGTTTTGGTCACGCCCGCCCTGGGTGAGAGGCGCAGATATCTCCCCAAATCCCAGCAGCGTCGCTGGCACGACAGTGAGCATCACTTACGGAGCTTGGCATGAATGGAGGGAGGGTTTGT